GAGCCCTACGAACAATGCCAGACCCTGCCGCGGGCATTTGACGCATCAAGGCTGTTGAGTGCATAGTTCATGGTCTCCGGAAATCGCAGCGGGTGGCCTGTGTCAGGACAAGATTCGTATCAGGAAATGCGCTCACTGTCCACTTTGGTTTCCGAGCCGTCGGGAATATTTCCGAGAAAACTGGCGAGGCGCCGTGCGTGATTGATCTGCCGCTCGGCTCGAAACTTGAGAGGAAACAAGTGTTGACTTGGATGACGAGGTCTTGGCAGTGTCGTGAATTGGCGAGACTGAGACAACATCGTAGCTGCTGGCGTCTGCACCCGCAGACCCATCCAACCATGCGAACATGTCGTGCAGTCAACGCCGTCAATCTGCAATGGCGAGAGAGCCGCAGCCTCTGCCGGGCATCCAAGGGGCTTGACCGAAACAGGGCGACAGGAAGGGCTGCCAACCTCGAGCGCCGACTGTATGATGTCTGTTGCGGGACACGGGCTTGTGTGAGGAGCCAAGGGACCATTGCCTCGTCACCAAACGGCTCAGACATGTTTCTTGACAACGCATAATTGGTCTCTTGGGTTCTCGCCCAACCCCCGATATCGAAGGGAATGTCAATGTTCAGCTACTGGATAAATGGTGCGCTGCTGGCTTCACGAAGACCCGCCGATGTCAGCCCTTGAATAGGTAGTCGATAAGTGTCTTGGTCTGTCCCTGGCCAGCGCTCCATTCGGCAGTCGGTTGTCGTCCATTGACCGTCTGAAACTCCAGACGAAGCGAAGGGAAGTGGGAGACGAGACGGAGGCGAGGCTCGTGATTCCGGGCAGAGGCGTCGGCAACCGACTGATTTACGGGTGATTGATCTGCTTTCCCGTCAGTTGTGTCTGTTGGAGAGACAACCGATCGATCTGGAGTTGGAAGATCCTAACGTCGATTCCACGAGGTTTCAGAGCACTAAAGCACGACCCCTTGCCAGACTCAGCTGCAGGCTGTTGAAGCTGGCCTCGAAACAGTGGGGATCTCCCGGCGGCTTACTTTGCCTTATTCATCTTGGTGAGGGCGAGGATGCCCGAGAGGGTAACAGATTGGTGAGCAAAGGTGGCATCACCACCATGGTATCAGCTGGCATCATGGCCCAATGGCGGGGGAGTGACACGGCAGCTCGAACAAGTTCCAGTCCAGTCCAGTCCAGAGCTACATAGTGCTAGCCCTCTGCTCCCCTATCTCCTTGGCGCACACATGCACACATGCCTTGCGATCCGGTGCGTTGCGGGAGAAGCACCAACGAGGCTAGTCTGCTGGTAGCGCAGCGCCGCGTTGACTCACACCTGCCGCTTACATGCTTCGGGACTTGGTGGCAGCCAGTCGAAAGTCTTGTCGGACGGGTTGCCGGGTTGTCTCTGAAGGATGTGGAATGGATGGATGGACCGGTGATGATGGCAAGCAGGTAGTTGACTGCGGGAGATGTTCGTGATGGAGAATCCAGAGGAGCTGGTGTTTCACTGGCAGGGCTGCAGTGGCACCTATCTGCAAGAGCCTGCCGTCATTCACTATCGCTTCAGCCCAAACGACGTGCATCTAAGGTAGAAGGTGCGCTGTCGAATCCGTCATGTCATGGCCCTGCAGGCACAGGCACGGTTGAAGCCAACCAAGAACGAGTGGCCTCTGGCAGCTGCCACTTGCAGCACTTGCAGTTGCCATCGCCAGTGGCCGCTGCACATCTGCAGTGAGTGAGTGGCTGCTCGCCCGGCCTGGTGTCGCATGCCTAGACATTCCTACCGTACATGGATTCACGGCGTACCTTTGTCGGGCTTGGTGCTGTGAAGCCGTCCCTTTTGCTCTGGTGTCCCTGTCTTCGGACAAGACTCTCCAATACTTCTCCCTGCTCAACTTTCCCCGCCTTACATAGTCCATTGCAGCAACGCTGAAAGATGATGCTGCGTTTGGATAAGTACCTTGCATGGTTCTGCCTAAGATCCTTTCCGCCATCACATTAGGATATTTCGCTTGCTCCGTAGCCGAGCCGTTGCAACCAGCAACCACCTAAGCAACTCGAGTAGGGCCCTGACTAATGAGAAACGGTCCTGAACCTGAGGCAACTGGTCTTCCGTGGCTTCCATGAATTGGTGTGTGGGCTTCCAGTGGTGGAATATCGGTCTCCAAAGGGAACACCTCTGAGTGCATGTGGAAGGGATATGCCGAATCAGAACAAATCAGGTCGACATCATGCCAGGGCATACTCGTTTCGTTAGACGACAGCTGCTGATTTGCATATTTCAGGCGCAGATAACCTCGAGCACCGAGACAAGTTCATGCCACGCAGGAACATCCTTGGAGCAACCCTTTCTTCAGCCCCTAGAGTTTATCGCATCCCACCATCGGCTGGGCTCTATCGCAATAGCCTCAGCAGTAACAAACGGTACCTTGGTGTTAGCCGCTGTCCTGGCCAGGTATGTATCTCAGCACGAGGGTTCCCGCCCAACCATCCATATTGCGCCATTGCAGGACATTGGACTGCATGAGGATGATGTGCGCATGGAGCGTTCCAACGTTCCTCTCCGCATCCGATACCTGCGGTGCCATGTGTAGGTTGGTTGGTCTTGGTCTTGTGCGCAGATAGCAGTAGCTCGGACGACCAAGACGCCATGTTCAGCGCCATCCGGGCCAGTCGAAGCTTACTTTGGGCCCATCATCCCGTGTTTGCCAAACCTTGAAACCCTGGAATACCTGAACAAGCGCTGGCGCCGCCCGAAGGAGAAACCAGCTGGACATCCTGCCACCGCAAAGCAGCCACGGCAGCAGCTGTGCGAGAAACGGCTCTCTGGATCTGGCATCCATCTGAACACTGCTGGCCGTCAGTGCACCCGCGCCGGCCCAGCGATCAGAGCAGCCTGACCTCACGTTGCCCGGATGCTCGAGACACTAAACACCATCTTGGACCCTTCCAACCTCCCTGCTGCTGGGCCTGACACGTGTTAGTCTTGTCAACGTCAGTACTCTGTAGAGAAGACATACAACACAGACGGAGGGAGTTGTCAAAGTGTTCTGGACTCAAAGAAGCCGACGCATGTGGCTTTTGACAAGGCACCGGGAGCCGAGAGAAACGTCAGGTCGTTTTCTTTAATTGAAGTGTCCATTTAGCACCGCTGGCACCCAGGGGACCCCTAGCAGGACGGGGGATGAAGACGCCTGTTTCCGCGCTCTGCCTTGAATTACCAGCGCTCCCGTCACGCAGCCTGCGCTGTGCTCTGCTGGACAGTGCTGTCTTCCGCCAATGAAGACATCGTTCTCGATGGATACGTACTCTGACGGCCCTTAACTCGAGGTACATTGATGCATCCCGAGTGCCAAAATTTTTAGCAACCTCCAACGAGTCTCCAACGAGGGAAGACCGTCTCTGCCTAGCTTAATATCTACGTACCAGCGTCAGCGTACCAGCAGTGCAGTGCTACTCTCCCATGCTGCAGGTACTTCGATGACTAGTAGGTTGTTGGACAGTCACATACTGCGGTGCTGCTGCTGCTGCTGCTGCTGCTACCTTGCTTTACCTTACCTGACCACTATTTCTCTTGACTGGTATCTCGTTTTCCCATTCCCCTTCCACGGTTAACGATTGGCTCCCGGACGCTCCTTTCCTCTCTCCTCTTCCTCTCGTGCCGCCTCCTCTGCAACCTACCCTCTGTTGGAAGCGCTCACTGAAGGACAAGGCTCTGCTCTGCTCTGCTTTGCTGTCTTACGATCCTGACGACTAGATCTTCATCTGCTTCTGCAACCCGTCTTCTGCTGGTACGCTTGCTCCGTCTCCCTCCGTCTCCTGACCGCATCTCACGGTCCTCCCTACGCAACGTTTCTCTTCTGCACCTCCCAACCCCCCGGCCTTGAATCCTAGGCAACTCTCTTGCTCACTCGGACATTCAACCTCCAGTGTAATGCTATTCTCATGAATCTACGGCCCCACGAGCTTCTTTAATGATCAATGATATACGAGCCTGAAGCCGCCCCCGCCTGACACGCCCCGTCGGCCCCGTACGCCCCCCGTTCACGAGCCCAGACTTCGAAAGCCCTGCGCCTGCCTCTCCGTCACTCCGACAAGGCCATTGTTTCTTGGTTCTGACATTTCGACCTGCAGAGATTACGTCTGCACCATCGAAACTCGACAATTCCGTTTGCACAGGTGGTTCTGTCATGTCCGAGTTAGGGTTGTGTGAAGTACAGTAGAATTGCTATGAGTGGGGATCAGCTGGCTTCCAGGCAAGATTTCTACCTACCAATCCACCCCCGTTCACGTTGGTCTTCTGCCTTCCACCAGGCCGCAGGATGATCAACAGGGCCGCACTCCTGCCTCAAAACACTTTTGCTAACTCGACATTGTCTTGTGCAGCTTTGGAAACCCAAACGCTCAGCCGCCCACGCCCAAACAGACCCCAACCTCCGCCGTTTTCCCGAGTCCCGTCTTCGAAACCCCAAAGCAACGACAAGGCCACTTCGACGACGCTGGCGGCTGGACTCCTCGTTTCGCAGAGGAATACTCCGTTTTCAACACCACTCCCGGCAACCTGAGAGGCTCCCAAACCCCCTTTGCCGAGTTTTCCTCCGCTTCGACCTCATACCCCCCTTCGACCGGCCTGAAAAGACCCCTGTCTGCCGAGAGCCTCGCTGCTCAGATAGCATCCCATGCTAATCACCTCTCGCCCAACCCGAGCTTACCTCTGCCGCCGGTTGATATCTCTCAACGTCTGAATTCTTCCCACAAAACCTCGACCGAACAGCAGCACGGAATTCCCAGCCAGAAAGACGGACCAGCCAGCCTGAACCCGGCTTCACAAGGAGCGCCGAAGCAGGCGGGAGACAGAGAGGGAGCTGCGGATCTGAACGGGCAAACGGCCACTCCTCCGCCGTCTTCACACAAGGGTGGGCGGAAACTTGCGCCGAAGCTCCGGGCAGACAATATGCAAAATGATCATGGCTACGGCCAGCCAGACTTTTCCGGGACCCCACAGCAGAATATGGCGGCCGCGTTTGTAGCTGCCACCGACATGTTCGGCTATCCCATGTCGGCGCCGGCAACGGCTCCCAACAGCTTCTGGGACCCCGGCGCCGACATGTCGGCAATGGACATTGATTTCTCTTTTGGTCCTAATGTTTTCCAGCCAACCCATCGTCACATGCCGTCGTTTGACGCTTCACAAATGTTCCAGGAAACAACCCCCCTTCCGCCGGCAAATAGTCAAGAAAATACTCAGCCCGTCAAGCGAAGCCGGCCCCTGGCTCCCAAGCCCCCTGCGTCTAACGTCCAGTCCAGCTCAGCGGATATTTCCATGGCTTCGTTCACGACGTCGGCGGAGGATCCTTTTGGTATTGTTAGCCCCGGCGCCGGTGTGGATCCGGGCCTGCTTTTCAGCCGACCGTCATCTTCGAATACGGAGACCAATATCCCCGTGACACAAGGGTCCGCACAATATGCTTTGGCAGCGGCTGCGGAAACTCAATCAAGAGCACCAATGCACGGCGGAGACATACGCCGTTCCCTCAGTTCCAGGGAGTTGGCACCCAGTAGAATGCCAGACCACATGTTGGGAAGCTCGCCATCCAAGTCCCAGGGACGCCCCAACGGGCTTCAACGAAGCGTTAGTGAGAACCGTGGCCGTCGTAAGGCGCTGCCGACGCTGGCTCCCGCCATCCAGCCCAGACCTGTGGTCAACAATGGTCCGGCCGCAGGACCTCGTCGGCCTCTGAGTCGGCCTTCAGGCAGAATATCACCTCTGAAGCAGCAGCACTCGCGGCTATCAAGCCTGACGTCAATCCCTGAATCGAGCCCCCGTACCCGGACGTCCGTCAAGTTCACAATTGACTCGAAAGGCAGAGCCCGAGCTGAGACTACCGTCGTTGTTGATGATGCCGGATCCAATGGCGCACAGAGGAAGCCCGTCACCAGGGAAATGCCGCGCAGAGAAAAGAGCTGGGACTCTGAGGACGATGATTCTTCAACAGATGACGAGCCCATCATCATTCCCAGCCGGAACACCTCCTTTGCTCTCCCTGATCCTCGCAAGCCTACTTCGTCTTCCATGTTCCATTCATCTCGCAGAAGCGTGAGCGAACACAGCTCAAGCAGTCACGGTGCATCAACTTCACAACACGACGCCGAGAGCGAAGCAGAGACAGTGATGAATGATAATCACGGGAAAGGCGGCGATGCCGCAAGCGAACTGCGCAAGTTGATTGAGAGCCGCCAGAAGCGAGGTCCCCAGGTCCTCGGCAGCCAGCGGTCCAACCGTTTTGCCTCTGGCAGCTTTGTTGGGAATTTCCAAGGAGGTCTAATGTCGCCCGGCGCCCTGACCGAGGCCAGCTTGCCTTCGCCCACAAAAGCCACCTACAGTGTGCGCTGCGTTTGCAGGAATAACGCTAACAGGCCAGGAGAGTACATGGTCCAATGGTAAGTCTGATGAATGTTATGGTGATCGACTTGGCTGACCATTCTCAGCGAATCCTGCGAGATGTGGCTTCACGGCCCTTGCATCAACATTTCGCGGAGGACCCTTCCGAGTGTATATATCTGTGCCTTCTGCTCCAACACCCCCAACATGCGCGGTGGACGGCATCGCGGTAATGGTCCATTGCTGGGCCCGTCAGGGGCGAGCCCGCTAAAGCACAAATCGTTCCGGTAGCTCGTTGCCCAGTCGAGCTTTCACTGTAATATTTCAGACTTCCGACGCTGCAATAATGTCTTTGCCAAAGGAAAGAAAAAGTTTAGAAAGAGAACCCGGGGCAATCCGCCATCAAGTCATCCTGGACGTTGATGAGTACATATGATACCCGAGAGTGTACACACTTGCGATTTAATGAACAATACGAGGCTATGCATCCTGTACGTTGATGTCCAAAGTGTTTCCTGGCTGCGAGGCCTAGCATTCGTTTAAAAACGTGATTGTATATGCCTGGCTGTGATACGCTCCTGCGAGCTTCACCGCAGAAGCGTAGAATGTCCCGCACAGCCTGTAGGTCGTGCATCCACGGCGTGTGTATATTACTTCTACATAGGCATGTATCTATCGATTCAACAGTGGGACGAAAACCTTGGTTGGCATTCAACTAGTCGAGTCGAAAGCTTGAGCGGCAACGTCTGGTAGTCCCGAACATTCCTCCGTTTGCTGTTCTATTATCCATATTCTTGCTGGCGCCATCTTAAGCTCTTGCGGTTTTCTGCACTTCTATTGTCATGAGCGTATTCGTACCGCAGCGTCATTGTATTCCGTCGAGTGCCATCCGTTTTTGGTGGGAGGCGGGGTTCAGGGTGTGAGTTCTGGTTGGACTGGGATACAAAACTAGCGCACTACTGTGAGACTATATCTTTACTGCCGCCGAGACGATCTCGAAGATGTTGGATCTGTTGTTGAAGCGTGAGGAAAGGGTTGATCTTGCTCAACTTATATCCGGGCAGCAAGTGCCGCCGCTGACCTCGCCGAGTACGTCGGTCATCCAGACGGGAAGGTCGTGGGTAAAAGTATAAGAGGAATGGATGGACGTGGCAGGTTGCAAACGCACGACAGAATCCGTCAGTTCTTTCCCCATTTCTTTTGGTTTTGGAATGGGTCTGTCAGGAGACGTCACAGACAGGTGCCCCAAGCCGTGGAATGGCGATTGGTAACAAGATGAATGTTGAAGCATAGGCGCCTCGTTCATGCATAACTTCTCCGTGTGTATTGTGCCTGAATATGGAGGGGATACCAGGAGTGGAAGAAAGGGAAACGTCTACGGGCAGATCAAGATGTAGATTGAGGGCATTATGCTGTCGTCGAAAACCTGACCGCCGAGGATTTGTACAGCCCATATCGAACAATGGTTACGACAGCATGGCGGATTGCGTGGCGATTCAGACTTCAGGCGGGCTTGTTATGGAAGTTTTATACGTAAATCGAGTCCTGCGACTAGCCTGGAAAGATTCCCGACGAATTTCTTTTTGAAAGAACGCGAGACTCCACAGAGGGCATGAGACGGGAGCGTTCAAGAGGAAAATGCCATCGACACTGGGTACTCAATCATAATGTATATGTCTTGTTTTTCGAGATACGAGATACGTAATAGCCTATATATATACCTCACATATGTGTCGAATGTTAAGAAATTGACGATTCGGCAATGATTTCTCCTCTTCTCCTTAGCAGTCATATACCGTAGACACCGTTATCGTGTGAATTTGCGATCTGGCTGGCGTTGCGAGTTTCTCCTTTGCTATACCATGTTACTCCGCCGTTATTGTTCTTGCTTTTCTTCCTGTATCGCTGGCCTTGTTGTATTGCATAATTGCTTCGGGTGCGTTCTTCCACTCAGCGTTTCGAAGGCTATTGCATTGTATACGACTGTTACGTTGAGGTCTTAAACAGGTCCTGTGGCCCACAAGTTGTCTCGCTACAAGGGAAGGGATTCTGTTGCGGCCCATTGCGTAAAGAGAGATAGAGCTCGGGGAGATACACCATTCATATAGCCGGAGAGATGCAAGAGGGGCGATTGGGACTCGTCCCAGGCTGACTCCGACGCTATATGGAAGCTGTCGATGAGTCGCTCAAGCAAGGGTTCCTTTACATACGGTCTAAACACGCACAAGGTTTTCTATATGAGATGAGACGGACGTTGCGGCGCCTTTTCTCTGTTTGATAATACATCTGGGTGGTGATCTGTGTGCCTCTTCTTGATGGAATATTAAAGCAACAGTTTCATAGCATTTGGATGAGTCGGTCTTGGCGATCAAGTCCTCGGTGTCACCGGCTGGTGTTGTCCCCAGCACGTATGCGATCCTGTGGCGTTCCCTCGCTTACAGCCTTGTCTCGGCCCTGGTCCTCACCTTCGCTACCCGTCCTGAGAGTATTCCTTCGTTGTGTAGATTTAGTGAGCGAGCGGCGCCTAGATGCTGCCTTGTTCATGATGCCACGCCAAACTATGACGTTGTGCAGCCTTTGATACTTACCATCAAGCAAGCATCGCATTGACACCCTCCGATTTGTGGTGTGAAACGGCAGCAAACACAGACAAACAGCACGTTTATATGTCACACTAAAGAACCGTCTATGTAACAACTGGCAAGGGTAGAGATACGCGTCGGTATATATAAGAGCGAGCTTCCCATCTTTGAGAGAGATGCCCAAGATGAGAGGCGACCGAGAAGAATACTTTGGTTGGCGAGCTGCATCGAAAACCCAGCCGCGTAGTACATCGAGTACACGCACGTTGAACTACGTTACTCGGCCTAATGAAGTTGAAGTATCTCACCGAATACGACTTGTTGCTTCTGAATACCCTAATACTGGCGATGAAGAACGGAGGCGATTGTCAACGATGGTTTACTCCCGTCTTAGACGCTGTATCAACGGCAACCACACGCGGAGTACTCCAGTATCTTGTTCAACCAGGCAAGCAGCCAACCCAAATGCATAAGTGTTGGACATTGAGTCTACTGGATTGATTGGCCTTACCATTGCAAGTTTCCTTTTTAATACTGGCACCTTGACCTGGGAATGTAGTTGGGGTGGGAAAGCCGCAGAACGACCTTGCCTCGGAAAAGCCGGTGTGTCCACCGGCACGGCACCAATGCCGGCAATGCGAGTGACACCACTCGGCCTGCATCTTCCCGAGCGAGATATACGAAAGGGGAGGATCGTCGCCGGAGAGACGACCGGAAGGGGGAAGAAGACTGGGGCGCCGGGACGAACCGGCGCCGACGGAAGCCGAACGACGACGCTGTGCAGCTCCGTGGGGTGCTGGGTGAGTGCGGGGCGCAGGCTCCAGGGCAGTTTCCAGGGCGAACCTCAGTGAAGCTACGGCTCCGACTTCGGAAGGCGGGGTTGGAACTGGGCCTAACTTTTTCAATCTTGTGCGGGATGCGGGGCAAACAGCTCACCTGTTCGCCGGAACGGACTCATTTCCTTCGTACCTGACTTGCTGCTCAATCTGCTCCTTTCCTTCTTCACATCTGCTTCAATTGCAACCTGATACCCCCTCCGTTTTCCTTCAATCCCCTTCAACACCCCCTCCTACTTTCAACAACAGACAAGATGGCGACGCACAATATTGTGGTGTTTGCTGGTGACCACTGCGGTCCCGAGGTGAGCTCGCGCAACGGAGAAGCTTCGGCTTGGCGGGGGAACGTAGCTAACGAAACTCTGTTCTAGGTTGTCGCTGAGGCTGTCAAGGTATGCCTCACAAACGGACCGACGCGTCGCGCATCGCGAGACTGACCAATTCCCGCAGGTCCTCAAGACAATCGAGTCCGGTAGCCCCTCCGCCGGCAAGTTCAACCTCCAGGACCACCTCCTGGGTGGTGTAAGTCTCCTCCGGTCCCGCCCGCTGCTCAATCCCACAACGGCACTCTAACCACCCGCCCGTCAGGCCTCCATCGACGCCACCGGCTCCCCCCTCACCGACGAGGCCCTCGCCGCCGCCAACTCCGCCGACGCCGTCCTCCTCGGCGCCATCGGCGGCCCGAAATGGGGCACCGGCGCCGTCCGCCCCGAGCAGGGTCTCCTGAGGCTCCGCAAGGAGATGGGTACCTACGGTAACCTGCGCCCCTGCAGCTTCGCCTCCGAGGCCCTCGTCGACTTCTCCCCCCTCAAGGCCGACGTCTGCCGTGGCACCGACATGGTCATCGTCCGCGAGCTGACGGGCGGCATCTACTTTGGCGAGCGCAAGGAGGACACCGGCGACGGCAAGGCCTGGGACTCGGAGCCCTACTCCCGCGAGGAGGTCGAGCGCATCGGCCGCCTGGCCGGCTTCCTCGCCATCGCCCGCGGCGAGAAGACCGTCTGGAGCTTGGACAAGGCCAACGTCCTGGCCACCAGCCGTCTGTGGCGCAAGGTCATCACCGAGCTCTTCGAGAAGGAGTTCCCCCAGCTCAAGATCGAGCACCAGCTCATCGACTCCGCCGCCATGATCCTCGTCAAGAACCCCCGCGCCCTGAACGGTGTTGTCGTCACGAGCAACCTGTTCGGTGACATCATCTCCGACGAGGCCAGTGTTATCCCCGGCAGCATCGGTCTGCTCCCCAGTGCCAGCTTGAGCGGCATCCCTGATGGCAAGGGCAAGTGCAACGGCATCTACGAGCCCATCCACGGTAAGCCTCTCCGGTCATCCCTCTCCGGTTGAAGCGTGCTAATTCAATTGACAGGCTCTGCCCCCGATATCTCCGGCCAGGGCGTCGTCAACCCCATCGGCACCATCCTCTCCGTCGCCATGATGCTCCGCTACTCCCTCAACCTGCCCAAGGAGGCCCAGGCCGTCGAGGACGCCGTCAAGGCCGTCATCGACAACGGTCTGCGCACGAAGGACCTCGGCGGCAGCGCCGGCACCAAGGAGGTCGGTGACGCCATCGTCGCCGAGCTGGCCAAGATTCTCAAGGCATAAAGTGTTTGCGGGCGTAGCATTGGGAAGGAACCATTTGATGAGTGAATGATGTTTTGGCTGATTTGCGAACTGGAAAAAAACGGGAATACGGAAAAGCAAGATTAGCTTGGCGTGCGGAGGGTTGTATAGCTCGCCACGTACTGCGAGATGGCTGAGATAGTGAAAAGGCTCAGTTGAACATGTTCTGAGGCTTATTGTGACCAACACATATGGGTTTATGACTGACGAATATTCAGCGGCTCTACTTAAGATGTGAAATCACGACGGCCAGAATAAGACAAAGCGTTCTGGCTTGGACATCCCCTCAAGAGAGATTGGTACTCCACGTGTGTATCTTTGCCGCCTTGACTCTCAGTTATCCGTCTTTGGACTCTGGGCTGGAACCAAAGCGAAGAGCCCATTGCTGGAAAATCCATGCTCTCACCTATGTCCTCGTAAGCTTTTGGGACAGCTGTTTGCTTGAGCAATGGGTCATGTGTTACTTGTTGGTCGTTGTGGAGCAATTTCTCCGACGTTCCCTGTTCACGAGACCCAAAGGCTATATGGCCATTATTGAATGCGCAGGAAAGAGCATATACATTAGGAACTTGACTGACACAGATGTTCCCATGTTTGATGTGAGACGTGCTGTCTTCTGAATGCAAGCTCATCATTCCTCCGTATGAGGTGTTTAACAAAACGTATCCAAAACCTGGCATTAAAGACCTACTTCAGCAACTCCACATCGCAGGCGGCCTCCCGTTAGAATTGTCAACCAACCCTCAACAATTTGCTCGTAGTCCTTGACGTAAAAGATCATATACTTTGTTGGATCTGATGGTAGGAATGTAGAGGAATAACAGCCAGTCATTGTCATGTTAGGAGAATCCCCCATTTGCGCGAGCCGCTGTTGCAAGAGTAGCTTCCTCGGCCGGAGGTATTGCTTTCGAATAGACCAAAGACGAAAATGACTAGTAATGAGCTGAATAGGACGCAGGATAAAGAACGCAATCAGCACCACGCCTCGATGATTATGAAGGCCAGAGAACCCCACCTGAGCCTGCCTACCTGTATTTCGGGCAATAAGAAAGAATAAAGATATAAGCCAGATCGCCGATTGGTTTGTTCTTCCTGTTCCTGGCCCTCTACGTATGTTTTATACTAATATTGGTGGTCAGATTTGGCTCTGTCTAGCGGACCGCGCTGGCTTTTCTGACTTTCTCATCTATGTCTACGTAAAGGAGCTTCCCGTATTATATAACACCGCAATGATCAAAAATTATTGGTAGCAAAGAGTGCTCCACGTGTCGTACCATAAGTTTCTACACCATCATGCCTAGGTACGAAAGGCAGATGCTGCAACTTCATCACTTCAATCTTGTACCAAGGCATGTTGTTCTGGTAAGTGTGAGCAACAAACACCGTGTACCTCCCCTAGTCATAACTTTCTTCGGAGTATTCAGGTTGTGTAAATTGTAAACGGCCGAGGTTTCATAGAAGCGAAGCTCGTGACTTGGGTACTTTGTTCACTCAATGCAATTGGTTGGCGTGCACGACACGTGCCAGTGATAGCTGAGAATGAGAGCGTGGCTGTTATTCTGGAGAGGATTCCGCCGTTAAATCTTTCAATTAAATATGAGGCTCATCCGCGTCGTCGACCCCGTCATCTGAGACAACTTTCGGCGACGCCGGTCATCCGATCCACTTTTCCCGAACTTCTCCGGAGCATCGCCGGTCGGATTGCGGGTTAGATTTGCGGCCTCATGAACACTCCCCACTGCAACATCATGGGGTATTCACTGGAAATAGTGTTGAGAGACATCCATGATACACGATTATACTGAATCCTCGCGCCTGTTAACACGCACGTCCAGCTTGGTGGATCGCTCAAAGGAGCGCAAGCCCACAGGCCGAATCCTGGACGAGACCAAAAGTTCCCGTGAGCCTTGAAATCCATCATCCCCTGAAGTTTGTACGCCAAAGTAAGCGCGACATGGCGACATTGGCTCCGCGACGCAAAGTGATCTGCATTAGCTGCCAAGGCCGTGCACATGGGGATGCCTCCGAGACCCGCCAAACACGCAAACATTTAGACTCTGGGATACGGATGCCGTTGCGACGCTGTTCTGACTCTGGTGGAAGGACACGAACTTATGGGGCACGTCACATCTTGAGGCCTAGAACAGGTTGATTCCTTGTGGATCTTCTGAACATCTCTCATGAGGTATCTCTCGTCAGACAACAGCCCTAACAACATTCGGCTCGTGTCTCCATGCCATGTCCAGGCCAATGAGAGCACTTGTTACCACCGTATTGGTGTTGCCTACACTGTTGATACTGTAAACCTACCCTGAAGTATAGGTAAACCTAGTGAGGGTCTCCAACAAACGAAGAAGGCAGTGATTGAATGAAGGTGGGGAACGAGATGCTTCAGAGAAAGCTCCGTACAGTCACCAAATTTGGATCCGTTACCGCCAGTATCATCAAGCCGAAGCGGTGTGTCGGCGTTCATGTCGGAGAATGAGGAAGTATCACCAGGGTACGATGACAGCTGCACCCATGACACAGAACCTTGCCTATAGGCTATAGCCTCCAAGTATATGAGACTAAAGGAATGAAAGGCTTCTCTTTTTCTGCGATCAATCCTTTACTTCCTGTAATGATGTATCTGAGGCTCTGTTCATCGGACCGAAAACACTTGAAACATGACACCGCCGGAATAGGATCACTTATCTGTGGACCTATTAGTTGTTGCCGCCCTGAGGAGTCTGTCTTGAGCCTCATTGAGGGAGAACACAGCTTTCCTTTCGACGGCATTGTGGCTGGATGACTGGTGGACTAGCCGGCATGCTTTTTCCCCCAAATTTATTACTCTAACACACTCGTATTTGGCTTAGAAAGCAACTTGAAGACGTAAGAAAGTCCATGTGTCGGGCCGTACTGCGCCAAACCGTCCATCGAGGAGAACCAAGGCTATATCAGGGGCTCGTCACGATCCTCGTCTTCCTGCAGCAGATCCTTCTTGCTCCAAGCCAAGAGATTCCAAAGCCCGACATTGACACCGGCGACTGAGCCACCGCATGAGGTATCAATCGCTGGGCTTCGATCGACTGATGTGTGAGTTGATGTGTTCTAGTCCGAAATTGAAGTCCTTTTCTTCAGGGACTGAAGAAGTTTGCAGTTTGTACACTTTCCTAATCAAGAACATCCTTCGGGTTGCGTATGTCATGAGCTAGGTCTGGCACTCCCTCAGGAATACTTGCGCGGACGACCAGCGAGAAATCACGCGGCCGTGTTACGATGAAGCGTCCCAAACCCACGGTAACCAATGCCAGAGCTCTGTCAAAGATTGGTAAGATTAGATATGACAGACAGCAGGAACGTCTCATGGGGAATGACATACTACCCCTCACACGTCTTCGTGTGACAGGCCAGGGTCGCAGAAGTCCCCCTCCCACTTTAATGTTTGTCACCTGTAAGCGGTATGCCGACACGACGAGGCCCTGTTCACGCTGACAAGTGGATTGTGCGGTTCTTGACTGCATTGGCTGGAGCTGTGGGTTTCAGTCCATAAAGAGGACGAAAAGCCGTTGGGGCCGGGGTTGTTGGTTCCTGAACATGCGTTGGAGCTGGGGTTGTTGCACCCTGACCACACGCTGTTTGCTCATTGATGTTCAATTTGGTAAAGTAGACAAAGATCAGCTAGCAACATTGTCAAAATCTAAGTTGCCTCTTACGAATTAGTCCCCAGCCTCACCCGTTGCATAGACACCACAAACATCTCAACGCCGCTTCCACGACTTCACTCACACTGTGGCCTAGAACATCGATCTTCTCGCCAAGAGTTTCTTCAACACCAATGGTGTGTATGACAAATCTGCGAATTTCCAAAATGACAGAGACGTTCTCACGATGTCCTGTGTTTGCCCATCACCGGGGTACCAGAACATAAAGATCTACGCCCGGTATCTGGGTTCTCGATTTAGCACTGTCTTCGACCTCCCGTTCAGCCGCAACTTCAACAAACACGCCGAGGGATCAGTTCAGCACCAACGGCGGAGCATCCTCAAACAATGTCAAATTTCGGGGATCCGCCCGCCGGGAGAGGCGTCAGCTTCCGGCATTGCGCGAGACTTGGCATCTGCTGCAGCATTCATATTTCCTCTCGCATCCCGTCGTGTTGTTCCATGCTTTCCACATACGTCGGAAGCATCATCACTTGCGCTCGGAAAACAATGGAAGACAAAGGGCCCCTAATCATCGCAGCCTGCTGGGCGTTCACGGGACTGAGTCTCCTATTCGTGGCCGCCCGACTATTCGTTCGACTCGCGGTATACAACAAGCTCATGAGCGACGACTACTGGATCATTCTCTCAACCGTACGTCTTTTTCTCTCCTCACCATCAGCCCAAGCTTGACCACCTGACACAATAAAAGATCTGCGCAGTTTGTTCAAACTCACTAGTCATCTTATCAGTTCATTGGGGCAACGGACAACACTGGGACACCCTCGACCAGGAACACCAACGAGAGGTCATGAGATGGATGATCGTTGCATATGTGCCAGGAATCGAGACACTCGGCTTTCCCAAGTTGGCGGTTGTCTGCCTTCTCTCACGCCTCCTCGCGCCTGGCAAATTGCACCTCCGGATCTTGTGGGCGCTGAGCATCGGCTGCGTTATATCGCTCACTGTCACGGTGATGACGCTCTTAATGCAGTGCTCGCCTCCAAGCGCTGCCTGGAACTTTGATTTACCGAGGGACTGCATCAAACCAAAGGTCATTGAGGGTTTGGCTTTTTGGGCTAGTTGTAAGTCGGGACGCGTTTTCATGGTATGGACGAAGCAGCTGATGATGTTTAGCCTGGTCCGCGTTTCTCGACTTTTATCTCGCAATTTACCCGGCCGTTGTTCTTTGGAGGCTTCAAATGTCTATGAAGAAGAAGATCGGTCTCACAATTGCCCTGGGTATGGGAGTGATGTAAGTCCACACCCCAGATTGGTCGGTGCTCAGGCTGATATATGACAGTTCGGGTTGCGTTGGCATTGTGAAGACGACCGGCATTCCTACGTTCTTGAGTGAGGACGTTAGTTGTAAGTGAATCGAAGTTGCTTTGAAGGATCCGGATCTAATGATGCTTCCAGATGAATTATGCGAGCCTCTGTACTGGACATCGTAAGTTTCCCAGCGTCTTCCCCTGAGACTTCAGTCAGCTTACCTCAATATTCAAACAGCATCGAGGGAAACCTCATCATCATCGCAGCCTGCATTCCGATCCTCGCTCGAAATGTTCAAAGGTCGTCCAATCTGGCGCACTGACAAGAGCTCAAGCAACCGCCAGTACGAAGACTACAGTAAGCAAAGCACGCAGAAGCAGCAGGACGCGATCGAGCTTCGGAGCAAGCATCGCAAGAAGGTCGATGCGTACGGGTTCACGATACACGCCAAGGACGAAAGTGAAGAGGCTATTGTACATCCGGACAAACGATCCGCGAGCGCCTCGTCTGACCGGAGGAGTGGCGGCTACAGTCAGGAGGAGTCGGAGCACCACCACAACCATCACCGCCAGCATCACCGTCAACATCAACACCGCCACCACGGCGGGACGTACCATAATCATGGGGAGCATCAGATTGTAAAGAGTACTGCGATCACCGTGACTTACGACCAAGGAGAGGAGGGGCCAACGTCAGCGGCGACCAGGTGGGCTGCTATTTAGAATGAATCAAAGGGGCATCCCTGGATCAATATGAATTCAAAACGACACCGAGCCGTCTTTGCTTCTCTAAAAAGTAGCCTCAGTACGATAGTTCCAAAATTACTAGAATAATAGACTGTGTGTAGTGCAGTTGAAAATCGAAAAAAGCAATCCAGACTGGCGGTACACAACTAGAGGCTTTGCTTGGACATATGTTGCGCAAGAGCTCTTGCAAACTTTTGGTTTTTTCAAATGAACAGAGTGGTACTTCACTTGTTTCTGTTTGTGCTCATGGTTTTGCGATGACGATCAACATGCATCCCGCTTACGAGACAATCAAAAACACATAGAGTGCAATAACAAGAGAAATTAAGAAAAGTGCAACAATCCGATGACATACGGACGAGATTAACATGATGTTCAGTTTCCTTCCCTCCATTACTGATAGTACCATACTTTTAACGTTATTCCTCCCTCAGGGCAACTACAGGAGCGCTGCTCTGGTGTTTTCTCCGGACCTCAAGGCTTCCACCCCCTGCCTTCTGAAACGCTCCTACCCTCCCAGAATTCTCTCGCCTCGCTCCTTCCACTTCGGATTACTACTAGTCACACGATATTGGGGCACACCTGGCGCCAATTAAATCCATTAGCACCAATTGCCACAGCCTTACCCATAGGAACTTTTGGCAGCCGCAAATGCAGTCATACTTCTTCCCAAAGACACCTACATGCCGCTCACTATACTCGTTATACTCCCTTACTTGCGGCCGCTACATCGTTTCCAGAGCGGTTTCCATTGCAGAGAAACTTCATCTGCAGGATGGCTGTTCTGATAGGGACGGGTCTCTCATCAGACCTCTTTCCTTACATGGCGGCTTCCCTCGCAGGGTAGCTTCCCTCGTCAGACTTCGTTCCTCGTGGGTCAATCTCCATTTAATCGTGGCTTCCTTGTCTGATACTTTTCCAGTGGCCTGTTCTGCTTCATGCGCGGGCGATTGACCTAAAGGCCGTGGTCGCCTCGCCACCTTACTCTTCTTCACCCACAAAGCGATCACTGCAGGCGGCTCCCTCATCTTTTGAGGCCGAGGAAGAGTATTGGTGAGTCTCTTATTCGCGTTGGTCCTCTTTCGCCCCCCCCCCCCCCCCCCCCCCCCCCCCCCCCCCCCCCCTCCCCCCCCCCCCTCTGTTGTGGATTTG